CCGGGACACCTCCCACTGTCCCAGGCTGCTCCCAGCCCTGTCCAGCCTGGCCTTGGGCACTGCCAGGGATCCAGGGGCAGCCCCAGCTCTCCTCTCCAGCCCGAGCAGCCCCGGCTCCCTCAGCCTTTCCTGGGCACAGAGATGCTCCAGGCCCTCCTCATCCTCACACCTGAGCTGGCCCCGCTCCAGGAGCTGCTGTCCCTGAGGATGCAGGGCTGGACACAGCACCCAGAGCTGCCCCAGGGCTGGGTTCCCTCCCTGACCTGCTGGGTCAGGACAATGAATTAATTACCAGTTCATTAACCTCCCTCTGCTTCCTGCTCAGGAGTGCAGGGATTGGGATCTTTGCAGGCTGGGAATGCCAAAAAATGAATGCCAAAAAATTCCCAAAAGTCTCTGTGCACCAAGTGCTTCATTGCTGGCTTTGGGTTTTTGTTTGGTTGGGTTGTTTTTTGTTTTTGTTTTTTGTGTGGCATTTGGGTTTGGTTTGGGATTTCTTGTGGGGGTTCTTTTGCATTTGTCTGTTTTGTTTTGGGGTTTGGTTTACTTTGGGAGGAGTCATAGGCTGCTTTGGTTTTTGTTTTTTGTTTGGTTTTGGTGAGCTTGGGTTGGGTTGGGGATTGGCTTGGAGGGCTCTTTTTGTTTGATTTGGGTTTGTTTTTTTTTTGCTTGCTTTTGGGTTTTTTTGGGTTTATTATATTAGGGGGAGGGATTTGGAGTTTTTTTCTGGCATTTCATTTGGGTTTGGGGTTTTGTTCCTGTTTTAGGATGTTTGGTTTTGGGAGTTTGGATTTTTGGGGGGAATTGTATTGTTTTCTTTTATTTTTGTTTATTGTGATTTTGGGGGTTCATCTTTTGGGGTGAGGTTTGTGGGGTTTTATCTATGGTTATTTTTGTTTTGTTTGGAAGGGGCAGGTTTTGGTTGTTCTGGGTTGGGGTTTTTGTTTGTTTGTGGGGTTTTTGTGGGGCTGACTCCTTGGTGTATGGTCTTTAAAACTTCGTGAAAATTTCCGGATTAAACCATTAAATCCTGTGCATCCCTCAGGGAAAATCCATCTGTTGGATTTGAGGGCTTTGTATCCTTGAATCCTCAACAGGACAAGAGGGAACAGCCTCAGGCTGGGCCAGGGGAGGCTCAGGAGGAGCCTCCTTGTGCCAGCATGGAGAAAAGACAACATTACCCTTGGTAGGACAAAATAATTGGTTTTAGCTGCCTTCCATTCCTCAGCATTCCCTGTGTCACATCCCAGCCTCTCTCCCATATTTTATCCTGTCAGATGCACCTGGGATTATTTCTCAGCAGTGCTCATGTCTGGGGGAATGTAGTGCATGGTCCTCCTGGATTGGCATTAATCTGTGCACATGTTCCCACCCCCCAAACTGCCTCTACTAATATGTTGATAAGAAAAGAAATCTGGAGCGTGGCTCTTCTTCAGGAATGTCGATGGATTTTGGGAGCAGGAGCTGCTCCTGCTGCAGTGAGAGCAGCTGTGAATCTGCTGCCTAAGAGGAGTATAGAATTGTCCTGGTCAGAGCCACTCCTGGCACTTCAGGAGCAAAGGGAGGGCTCAGCCAGGCTCTGCAGATGCTTCCAGGGAACCTGGCTCTCCATTTAATCCCAGTTTCTGATTGGATATGTGGCTATATCGCAGTCTGGATTTATGGATCTGTCTTAGTTTGGATACATATCTCAGTTTGGGTCTATCCCAGTTTGGATCTATGGATCTATCTCAGTCTGGATGTTTGGATCTGTCCCAGCTTGGATACATGGATATATCCATGTCAGTTTGGATATATCCCAGTTCTGATACATGGCTATATCCCAGTCTGGATGTATGGATCTGTCCCAGTTTAGATACATGGATATATCCCAGTTTGGATATATGGATCTATCTCAGTTTGGATATATCCCAGTTTGGATCCATGGATCTCTCCCAGTTTGGCTGGGGGCTCTGTGAGGGACAGGCCCTGTGGCCAGTGGTGTCCTGAGGTTAATGAATTGGTAATTAATTCATTGTCCTGACCCAGCAGGTCAGGGAGGGATTCCAGCCCTGGGGCAGCTCTGGGTGCTGTGTCCAGCCCTGCATCCTCAGGGACAGCAGCTCCTGGAGCGGGGCCAGCTCAGGTGTGAGGATGAGGAGGGCCTGGAGCATCTCTGTGCCAGGAAAGGCTGAGGGAGCCGGGGCTGCTCGGGCTGGAGAGGAGCCCCAGCTGAGAGGGGCCCTCAGGCCTGGCTGTCCCTGTGTGCAGGGAGGGCAGAGCAGGGCCCAGGCTCTGCTCCGGGGCCCAGCAGTGGCACCAGAGCCACGGGCAGGGCTGAGCCCAGGAGCTGCCCCTGCACAGGAGGCACAACTTCTGCCCTGGGCAGTGCCAGCCCTGCCCAGGCTGCCCAGGGAGGGGCTGGAGTCTCCCTCAGCGGGGATCCTGCCCAGCCTCTGCACACAATGCTGTGCCCTGGGCTCTGGGATGGCCCTGCCTCGGCAGGGAGGTGGCACAGGCACCTCTGGGCTCCCTCCCTGCCTGGGATTTAAAGTTTCCCCTCATTTCTGTGCCTCTTGTATCCCATCAGTAATGCCTGCCTGGAGCAGTGCTCCTTGCCCTGGAGGATCTGCAGAATTCCATCAGGGTTTTCCTGGCTGTGCACCCGTGCCACGTCTGTGTGGAGCAGTGGGTGCTGGGACCCTGGGGACTGGAGCTCAGGGGCTCCTGGAACCCCAAGGGAAACTCCTGAGTCACCCCAGGGCTGGGCAGAGCCCTCAGGGAGGGAGAGTTTCCCTCTGCAGCCCAGCCCAGGCCCAGCTGAAGGAGCTGTCACACTCTGTGGTTCCAGTTTAGGGAAGAACCAGGGGAGGGCTCCCAGCCATTTACCTTGTGTCCATATATTTATCACCCTGAAGGGCTCCACTGGCAGTGAACAGTTCTCTAAAACACCTGCCTGTGTTAGGCTGGGATCCCGGGGATGTTTAGGGTTGGCTCACCTGTTGTATGGATGCTGTGAAACTGCTTTGAGCTCTAAATCTTTGTTCCCCGTGGAACAATCACAACATTGTTAAATCCAAGCTGTAAATCCCAGTTGGGCAGTTGGGGCTGTTCTTCCCCACTCTGGGTTTGGGATTTATTCCTCAGCAGGAGCCATTTCTCCCCATGATACTCCTGCCCCTCTGGCACTGTGGTTCCTGGCTGTGCTGTCACTGCACTAGAAGTGGTGGCTTTATATTGATTGATCTGCTCTGGAATGGATCCCAGCTTGGTTGTTCTGGTGGGAATGGGGTCACAAAATCACGGAGTGGCTCGGGGTGGGAAGGAAACTCAAAGCCCATCCAGTGCCACTCCTCACCCCTGGTGGGGAGCTCAGCTCTGCAGAGCCCCGATCCTCGTTGGGATCAGGATTTTTCCTTTACAGGTGACACGATATCTCCTCTGCCGCTGCTTTCCTGGTGGCCTCACACACGACCCCACCTTGGCACAAGAAAAATTAGCCTTGGGCACCTTGATTAATGCCAGGATTGGCTCCCAGTGCTGTGATTGTGCAGTGTCCCCTCCTGGCTCCAGCTCCAGCAGGGACGCGCTGTAATTCCATGGGCAGGGATGGAGGAGCATCAACCATGGCTGACTGCAGAATTTCAGGGGTGTCAGCAGTTTTCCCAACCAAAAAAGCTTTTAGCTCTTGGGCACAAAGTCAAGTGTCATTTGAAATGCACAGCCATCAAGTTTGGGGGGAAAAAAATCCACAATAACCAAGGAGCCGGTCTGTTTTCCCTCTTTTTTTGGATGAAATGCGTAATAAGCTCTTAGCTGAGATAAATCCTAATTAAAGCTTCAGCCAAGGCTGGGGCTAAATGGGCAGAGCATGTCTGGGAGACAAATGCAGCTCCAGCTTGTCAAAGTGAGCCATTCTTCAATGGAAAGAGGATTTGTGTCATTAAACCTCTTCATCTCCCCTGTTCCCAAACACAGCCCTCCTTCCCTGTCCACAGTCACTCAAATCCATCCCAAATCTGTCCCAATCCCTTGGCACGTCCCTCTGGTGCTGCCCTGGAGCCGCAGTCCCACGCTCAGGGTTGGGGTGACCTTGGCAAGGTCCCTCCTCGAGGGGTACCTGGGCGTGGCCCCAAACCCACCCCTGTCCTGCAGAGTTCTCCCAGCTCCCCACTCCCGTGGAAGTGTCAAGGGCAAGGTCAGAAGGCCTGGGAAGGTTTTGGGAGGCATTTTAGGATCCTGCCTCCTGAAAAGTGGAAGGGAAATTGGTACTTTGAAGGCTCCAGCAAAGCATCCAACAGTGCAGCCCTCATGGAGATCCTGGGACAGGTTGGAAGGGCCCTTAAAGCCCACCCAGTGCCACCCCTGCCATGGCAGGGACCCCTCCCACTGTCCCAGGCTGCTCCCAGTCCTGTCCAGCCTGGCCTTGGGCACTGCCAGGGATCCAGGGGCAGCCACAGCTGCTCTGGGAATTCCATCCCAGCCCCTCCCCACCCTCCCAGGGAACAATTCCTTCCCAATATCCCATCCATCCCTGCCCTCTGGCAGTGGGAGCCATTCCCTGTATCCTATCTCTCTAGCCCTTTTCCCTCTCCAGCTCTCCCAGAGCCCCTTCAGACCCTGAAAGGGCTCTGAGCTCTCCGTGGAGCCTTCTCCTCTTCAGGTGAGCACTCCCAGCCTGGCTCCAGAGCAGAGGGCTCCTCCTGGGAGCAGCTCCTGGGCCTCCTCTGGGCTCATTCCAACAGGATGAGGTTGTTCCAGTGCTGAGAATTCCAGAGCTGGAAGCAAATCTTTGGGGAGATCTCACAAGGGAGAGCAGAGGTGGAGAATTGGTTCTCTGCTGGCTTTGGGAGTTCCTCCCATTTTCCTGTTAAAGCTGGATCTTACAGGAGCCTCTGGCTGGCTTTAGCTGCACCTCCAGGTGATGCAGAATTAGTGAAACACCAGCTGGGGATCCTGGTTTGTCCCCAGCTCTGAGCACACGCTGCGTTTGGTGCTCCCTCACTGTCTCCTCTCTGCAGTTCCGGGTGGACGGCGAGTGGAGGACCTGGATTGACTACGGCCGCTTCCAGGAGCTGGTCAGGGAGCACCAGCGGAGCGGCGGCTCCAGGACCTTCACGGCGGCCGACTACACGGCCAGGACTCCTCCCTGGGCCCTCTTTGGGGCCAGGGAACGGGGCTTTGACCCCCTGGATGTGAGATTCCAGCGGAAGAACAAGGCACGGGACATCTCGGGGTGCTGAGGGCTGGGGCTGCCTCACCCTGGGCTTCCCCGGACTCCATTTCGGGCTGACACCATTTTGGACCAGCTGGATTATCCTGATGTTTGTGAAGAGGGTCAAGCCTGGATTTAACCCTTCCCTCCTGTTTTTAGGGCTTCCTGGATGAAAATATTGATAGCGTTCTTATCTCGAGATAAATCAGAACTGGTTCAGCAGCAGTGGGTGGGGGGCACTGCTGGGATCTCCCCAGTGGGGAATGGCTGGAGTGGGATGTGGGGCCAGAGGGTTCCTTGGACTCCTGTGTAAGGAGAGCCTGGCAGCAAAACATTCCACAGCCCTAAGGAAAAATGCCAGTGGATTTCAGCCCCACAAAGTTGGATCAGGGCCACAGCCAGACCCAGATCCAAAAGCTGATCCCTGCTGGGAGCATCATTTTAGGGACTTTGTTCAGATATTTTAAACACTGGTGACATTTCCTGTAAAAACCCCATTGCCAAGAAGCCAAACCTTGGGAATGGTGTAACAGCACCCCTATGGATACCAGCTGCAGCTTCTGATACCTCCCCAAGTGTCTTCGAACCTCATGGCTTTGGGAATGAGCTGTAGGAACAGTTTATCCCACTCCCAGCAGCCCTAAACACCAGGTCCAGTCCTTCAGGGCCCTGTCAGGCTCAGCTGGGTGTGCTCGGTGCTGTAGATGGAACATCCCTGGCATGGGGATTCCATTGCTTTTTAAAAGCAACCTCTTTTCTTAAGCTGTACAAAGAGTTTCTAAAGCAGAAGGAAAATAAAGGAGTTTTGCCTCTGGTGTGGCTGCTGAGCAGGGTCTGTCTGTCAGGGAGGGTGGGAGGTTGATTGGAAGGAGATGAGAAGCACAGATGTTGTATAAGAGCTTTCCTAACAGATGTGGGGTGGAAGGGAGAACACTGGGAGGGTCTGTGAGTGATGGATGGTGGGTGCCTTTCCTGAGGATGTTTTAAAAAAATCACAGAATCCCAGAATGGTTTGGGTTGGAGGAACCTTAAAGCCCATCCTGTTCTACCCCTGCCACAGCAGGGACACCTCCCACCGTCCCAGGCTGCTCCAAGCCCCATCCAGCCTGGCCTTGGGCACCTCCAGGGATGGGGACTCCAAACCTCCCTGGGCAGTTCCAGTGCCTGAGCACCTTTCCATGGGGAAATTCCTGCTGGTGTCCACCCTGATCCTCCCCTGGCCCAGCCTGAGGCCGTTCCCTCTCCTCCTGTCCCTGTTCCTTGGAGCAGAGCCCGACCCCCCGGCTGTCCCCTCCTGTCAGGAGCTGTGCAGAGCCACAAGGTCCCCCTGAGCCTCCTTTTCTCCAGGCTGAGCCCCTTCCCAGCTCCCTCAGCTGCTCCTGGGGTTCAGCCCTTCCCAGCTCTGTTCCCCATCCTGGACACAAGACTCCCATTAACCCTGGACCATCAGCTGGAATTTTGGGTGTGTTTGGTGTCCAGCAGGACCCACCCACATTCCCCTCGATGGATCCTGGCCCTTCAACACCTCTTCTCTTTCCTAAATTCCCTCCATCCCGTACCCACCTCCCTGGCAGAACCCTCCCAGTCCATCCCAGTTCCCTGCTGGCTGCTGCAGGAGCTGCTTTGGGAGAGGAGCCCCAGTGCTGGAGGATCCTGGGGCTGCCACAGGAATCAGCTTGTGGTGTGAGGTGCTCCATAACTCTGACGGTGCCTTCCCTCGAGAATCCAGGGGGGCTTCAAAGAAAAATTGTGTTTGCTCTGTCCTTAGCATTGGTGCCATTTCTTCTGCAGCCCTCCAGGACACCCAGTCCCTGTCAGGGTCCCAGCTCCACGGGGCTCAGCTGGAAGGACTTGCTGGAGCTGAGAGGCCTCTGATGTCCTCTGATGCTCCCTGTGCTCCCTCCATTCCTCTCCCTGGTGCTCCCCGTGTTCCCTCCAACCTTTTTGATCTTCCCTGTGCTCCCTCCCTCCATCTCCTGGTTTCCCCTTTGTCCTCACACTCCCTCCATCCTTCCTTATCCTCTCTGTGTCCCTGCGTTCCCTCCCTCCTCTCCCTGCTCCTCCCCGCTGGCGCTGGGCAGGGAGGGCACTGCAGGGGACAGCGTGGGTGACACGGGGTCAGTGCCACGGTGTTCCCATGGGAATTGGCACCTGCCATGGCCTAGAACGGGGCTTTCCTCTGCCCTGTTGGACAGCCAGGCAGGGTGGAACCAGCACACCCACCTGGGCCACAGCTGGAGCTGCTCCGGAGCAGCTGGGGCAGGATTTGCTCCTGCAGTGCCACAGGAATTGCCTCGTGCTCAGAGTGAATCTTCCAGTGCCCAAATCCCTCCAGGCTGTGCTCACACCCAGCACTTCCAGAGGGACCAGAGAACACAAGTCCCCAGAACAGAACCTTCGGGCTGTTTGGGGACACCTGGAACTGGGGACCTGGCTGGCACAGTTGGAGCTCTGGGATCCTGCTCTGGGACCCTGCTCTGGGATTCTGGGACCCTGCTCTGGGATTCTGGGACCCTGCTCTGGGGCCCTGCTCTGGGGCCCTGCTCTGGGATTCTGGGACCCTGCTCTGGGACCCTGCTCTGGGGCCCTGCTCTGGGACCCTGCTCTGGGACCCTGCTCTGGCACCCTGCTCTAGGATCCTGCTCTGGGACCCTGCTCTGGGACCCTGCTCTGGGATTCTGGGACCCTGCTCTGGTTCTCTGCTCTGGGATCCTGCTCTGGGACCTTGCTCTAGGATCCTGCTCCAGGATTCTGCTCTGGGACTCTGCTGAATTGCTGCCCTCCAACAGCAGCACCTTGTGGGTCTCTGATTCAGTCAAAGAAAGAAACAGAGAGTTTCTATCCAGGCAGAAGCCTGGGAAAGAGCTGGAAAAGAATGTAAATAATTCTTTATCTCTCTTGTTTTTCACATTTTTTATAGTTAAGTTCTGTCACTGTGTGTCAAGCACTCTGCACCAATGCTGTGGGTTGTTTTCACTTCAGAACCAATGGAGTTGGCCCTCACAGAGCTCTGTATAAAGAGTGTTGTATTTTGAATAAACTGGAGTTTTATTCTCACAGCCTTCTGAGTCAGTCTCTTCATTCCTGTCCTGCCTCAACAGCGACAGCACCTCCTGCCTCACCTGGAACTGCTCCTGGTGGAGCTAAAAGGGGCTGGGATTGCTCGGGGAGGCTTTCAGGGCCTGGGATGCACTCCGGGAAAAAGTGCCCGAGTTCAGGGAGGGTTTCTGTTCTGCCAAGGGCAGTGAAAGCTCCTGGCCAGGGAGAACCTCTCGGGTGTCACAGTCCAGGACCAGCCCTAAGTGTTCTTCACTCAATACCTGTAATCCCAGCCCCTTTTCCATGGGGTGTGATCTGGATCACAGCCCACGGTACTGCTGGGGTTGCCCATCCTCCCTCCTGCCCCCGAGGCTGCCCAGGACCCCCAGAGAGCTGCCCCCGCTCTGGTTCAGGGCTTTTGCCAAAGGCAAGGCTCAGAGCGTGTCCTGGCTGCCCCTTCCTGCAAAGGGGGGCCTGGTGCTTCCAAACCCAACCTGAAAGTTCCATCCGAGGGGCAAAATGGGCAAAAATCACTTCAACCTCTTAAAGCCAGGGAGGATTTGAGGAGCCCTGAGGACTCCTGGGCCTGGGCCAGTCCCCCTTCCCTGGCACAGCCTGGACCCCTCCTGGCTGCTCCAGGGGCTCTTCCCAGCTGTGCTCCCGCTGGATCCTGACTCAGGCCTGAGTCACCTGCAACGGGGGCTGTGTTTCAGTTTGGAATGAGGATAAATATATTTGTTTCCAAAAACCCTCCAGCAGGAAAACATTCCCCCAAGCACAGCATTGTCATCCATCAGCTTTGGCTTCATCTGGCTCCGCTCCTAAATAATTTATGATGTTGAAGTTGCTGCTGTGCCCTGAAGGGGAAGGAAGAAGAGATGGGAATTAATTGTAGGAAGGGCATCGTCCTCATTTTGTCACCTGCAGACTGAGACAGGAGGGAGGGACTCGACCCAGCCAGACTGGGGACAAGGGATGGAGGGACAGGACACGGGGAATGGCTCCCACTGCCAGAGGGCAGGGCTGGGTAGGAGATTGGGAATTGGGAATTGTTCCCTGGCAGGGTGGGCAGAGGCTGGGATGGAATTCCCAGAGCAGCTGTGGCTGCCCTGGATCCCTGGCAGTGCCCAAGGCCAGGCTGGACAGGGCTGGGAGCAGCCTGGGACAGTGGGAGGTGTCCCTGCCATGGGACTGGAGGGGCTTTAAGGTTCCTCCCAACCCAAACCATTCTGGGATTCCTTGGGGCCGGGTTCTGCCTCATGGATGTATTCCCACCTTCTCCGCATCCCATTTCAGGACAAACTCAAGGCCCTCTGGAGCTGCTGGGGTGGGTGGATGCCTCACCTGGACATGGGGACTCAGACCCTCAGGGCACAGTGACTGGGGGCATCTTCCATATAAAAAAATTTAAATCATAAAATCCTCATCACTTGAGGACAGACTGAAGTCAGTGAGAAGGTTTGCAAGGAATTACTCCAGAAAAAAATAAAAACAACCAACCAAGCCCAAAGAAACCTCTTGAAAAAATTCAGAAACCTGGTGGTAAAAAGGTGGTGAAATCCTGATAGCAGAAATCCTCCATCCTTTCCCTGTCTCTGCTATTCCCATCACCGCGATTTTTAGGGATGCTGATAACAACATAATCCTCCCCTCTGGGGCAGCATTTGGGAAATCGAGCACTGCTAAACTCCCTCTCTGTGCCAGGGCTGGGCTCGGCTGGGCTGTTAAATCTTCTCAGTGCTGAACACGCCTTGGTTGGGAAGCGGGGAGAGCATCAAAGGCAGCAATAATCAGCTGCTAAACGAGCAGCTGGAGCCTCCTGTCAATCCATCCTCATCTCCGGAGCCTCATGGCTCTGAGGGAGGGTGGCACTGGTCCCCTCGGGGAGGTTGGTCCCACCAAATTGTGGAAACGGGACCTGGCTGGGAAGTTCTGCGGGGAAATGGGTTTGGTGCCGTCCTTGCTGTTGGTGCATCCTGGCATGGGGATCCTCGACTCTGGGATGTCCCTGGGGGGCTGGGGCGTGTCCAGGGCAGGGAACGGAGCTGGGAAGGGGCTGAGCCCCAGGAGAGGCTGAGGCAGCTGGGAAGGGGCTCAGCCTGGAGAAAAGGAGGCTCAGGGGGACCTTGTGGCTCTGCACAGCTCCTGACAGGAGGGGACAGCCTCAAACAGCTTCAGATCCTCTTCCCCTTTCCCTGCAGGGCACATCCAGGTGGCTGCTGGGATTCAGGGATTTGGGGGCTCCCATCCTCTCTCAGCCCCTCTGGACTGGGGCAGCTCCATCCCAGTCCCAGCCATCCCAGCTGAGAGCCAGAGCAGTGGAGATGCTTTTGTTCAAGTCTGGAGCTTTCACTTGGACTTTTATGTGCTGCTTTCCCAGCTCAGGCTGGGCAGGTAAAACTCCAGTTCCTTTTTTTGTCTTTCTGACTGACCCCCACACCTTCCTGTGAGGCAGCAAGGGCTGCTGGCAGCACTGGGTGATGGAACTTTGGACAGACTTGTCTTCCCCAGGGAAAAGTGTTGCAGTAAGGTAGAAATATTATAAAGAAAGGCCTCATAAAACCAGGCCTGCTCTGTTATTTCAGTGGCTGGCCTTGTCAGGCTTTGCAAGTTCCCGTGTTAAAGCAATCCTGGTGTGAGCAGTTCATTGACACAACAATCTGTTCCTGGGTAAAAACCAGGAACAGCACCTGTAGAAACTGGTTTTACACTGTCAGATAGGAAAATGAAAACTATCTCTCACAAACAACTTTTCCTGCACGTACACACTGGGGCT